TACCTGGTAGAGGACGTGGTATCTTATTACCTGGTAGAGGACGTGGTATCTTATTTACCTGGTAGAGGACGTGGTCTGGAAGCTATGTTTTCATTAAGCAGATGTTGAGCAACTTCTTCATCATCTAGTTGAACCTCTGAAACCATATTACATGGAACAAATCCAACTCTTCCATTTGTCTCTCCTCTGTAGAACCCATCTGGATCTTTACCTCCATAGATCTGGATATTTCACAAAAAAACAAAACTATGAAAGCTCCATATCTATACCATTATCCTTTTTGTAATAATGAAAAGTACCCTACACATGAACCTGCTTCCAACTTCTGGAATGTAACAACAATAAAAAAAACAGTGAAAATAAATATCTGGGATGATGATGACCTATGATTTGTGTCCAGTGGTCTCTTGAGCACAAAATCTCCCACGTGGAGTTTGAGATCCATTAGGAATAATATGAACTTTACATTCAAAAGTATTCAATAATTGTTGTAGATTACTGGTCACACTCTACCGGCAGATGTAAAACAGCTGTAGATTACTGGTCACACTCTACCGGCAGATGTAAAACAGTTGTAGATTACTGGTCACACTCTACTGGCAGATGTAAAACAGCTGTAGATTACTGGTCACACTCTACCGGCAGATGTAAAACAGTTGTAGATTACTGGTCACACTCTACTGGCAGATGCAAAACAGCTGTTTGTTCATCTGCTGGTAGTGTAATCAATCATTTACAGCTGTTTGTTCATCTGCTGGTGGAGTGTAATCAATCATTTACAGCTCTTTGTTCATCTGCTGGTGGAGTGTAATCGATCATTTACAGCTGTTTGTTCATCTGCTGGTAGTTTAATCAATCATTTACAGCTGTTTGTTCATCTGCTGGTAGCATAATCAATCATTTACAGCTGTTTGTTCATCTGCCGGTAGAGTGGGACCAGTAATCTACAGCTGTTTTACATCTGCCGGTAGAGTGTGACCAGTAATCTACAGCTGTTTTGCATCTGCTGGTAGAGTGCGACCAGTAATCTACAACTGTTTTGCATCTGCTGGTGGAGTGTGACCAGTAATCTACAGCTGTTTTGCATCTGCCGGTAGAGTGGGACCAGTAATCTACAACTGTTTTGCATCTGCTGGTGGAGTGTGACCAGTAATCTACAGCTGTAAATGATTGATTACACTACCAGCAGATGAACAAACAGCTGTAAATGATTGATTACGCTACTAGCAGATGAACAAACAGCTGTAAATGATTGATTACACTCCACCAGCAGATGAACAAACAGCTGTAAATGATTGATTACACTACCAGCAGATGAACAAACAGCTGCAAATGATTGATTACACTCCACCAGCAGATGAACAAACAGCTGTAAATGATTGATTACACTACCGGCAGATGAACAAACAACTGTAAATGATTGATTACATTCCACCAGCAGATGAACAAACAACTGTAAATGATTGATTACACTACCAGCAGATGAACAAACAGCTGTAAATGATTGATTACACTACCAGCAGATGAACAAACAGCTGTAAATGATTGATTACACTACCAGCAGATGAACAAACAGCTGCAAATGATTGATTACGCTACCAGCAGATGAACAAACAGCTGTAAATGAATGATTACGCTACTAGCAGATGAACAAACAGCTGTAAATGATTGATTACACTCCACCAGCAGATGAACAAACAGCTGTAAATGATTGATTAAACTACCAGTAGATGAACAAACACCTGTAAATGATTGATTACACTACCAGCAGATGAACAAACAGCTGTAAATGATTGATTAAACTACCAGTAGATGAACAAACACCTGTAAATGATTGATTACATTCCACCAGCAGATGAACAAACAGCTGTAAATGATTGATTACACTACCAGCAGATGAACAAACAGCTGTAAATGATTGATTAAACTACCAGTAGATGAACAAACACCTGTAAATGATTGATTACACTACCAGCAGATGAAGAAACAGCTGTAAATGATTGATTACACTCCACCAGCAGATGAACAAACAGCTGTAAATGATTGATTACACTCCACCAGCAGATGAACAAACAGCTGTAAATGATTGATTACACTCCACCAGCAGATGAACAAACAGCTGTAAATGATTGATTAAACTACCAGCAGATCAAATGTAAAAAAGAAATGGAGCTGAAGTTTACTGAATAGCTTTACAGTATTGTGTTACAATACTGTAAAGCTATTTCTAATTACATTACTGAACATTAAACACCATGTAAACATGCCACACCATACATCCTGTAACATATTTAAGATAGTCTTTTCTTGGATTATTTTATAACAATGATAGTCTATTTCACCGTTTCATTCTGAATATAATATTTTACCAGACAGACTTACAAATTAAAATCCTGATACTTCAAAACACGTTACTTCCTCTTCTATCTATCTTCCTTTCCGAGTGAATAAATTTTAGACACAAATATTTGTAAATCTCCCTGGCCAAGAGAAATACTGTGTAATGATTAGTTCTACTGTACACAGTGCAGCTAAGAAAAAAAAACATATTCTAACTGATAAACATCGTTTTAAATGAACTACCAACCTTAATCAACTGTCCTTCCTGAAATGGAAGTTCCTCGGCTGCATCGGGGTTTGGGGACATAGTGTGAGGGTTGTAGTCAAACAGTGCTACGAACCATCTGACTCTGTTGTCTTGATGATTAACATCCATATGAGGTTGACTTCTGTAACTAACACCTCCACGGTAGCTGTCCATGGGGTAGTTATCCTCCCTGCCATGTGATACAAGTGGTTCTTCTTGATAGTTGTAGTAATCCTGATCGTCTCGAGGCAAGCGACGACCCTTAGTGGGAGAAACTGGACGTGGCCCAATCCTGTCTACACTATATACTTGAGGCTGACCTCCTCGAGATCTGGACAAATCAGGAGGATAACCTTTTGGCTGAACTCTGTGTGCCCTTCTCATTGCCTCGTACTCTTCCTCTGAAAAGTTTTCCATAGAATTGCAACCTTCACTTGCACTGTCCTTAGTGATTTCTAACAAGAAAGTGACAAGCATCGATTCACAGTCCATCAAAATATAATTTTAAATTCTTTTTATACCTAAAACTTCTTTAAATAGTCTGTTTTTTCATTAAACCAGCTTATCAAGATAAAAATCACAAAACCCCAGTAGTTAAAAAGTTGAATTTTCTTTCCTTATTGTGTGTCTCATCAAAATTCTTTTCTAAACAAAATATAGCAAGCAAACTCATTCAAGTAATCAAAAGATAAGGGTGACTTAAAAATGTACTTGGCTGAAGAAGAGGTTGTTAATTAAAGCTGTCTTTCAGTAATATTAGGCCTACAATGTCAGTGATGTATATTTAACCAAGATGGTAGGGTTTTAATCCCTAAAAATAGTAGTAATTTTCCATTGCACTCTGGGAAGGAAAATAATAAAAATGCTACTACATAAAACAAAAACCAGGGAAAAAAAACAATATTAGTGTGTAAAGGAAAATCTATGTTCAGCACTCATGAAAGTCGTTTATAGGAAGCACGATCTACTAACACTATATGTTTTTACAGATTGACAATATAGACTTACTTACAAAAGTAACGACTGTTAGCCTGAAATATTAATTTTTCTATAATCATATAATTTAATCATTTACTTTAGTCCACTTTTCACCAGTTGTGCATTTGAAGAAATAATTGTTTTTTTTAATTCATAAAACAATACTTATTACAAAAAACCAGACTTTACGTGATTAAACAAAATTATTATTATTATTTTTTTTTGTTAGTGGCCTGCGATAGAAACCACCACTGTCCTACCAAGTGTTAAACAATAATTAAACTGTTAAACTGTGGAGTAAAGCTATTTATTTAGCTAAGAAAACTGTTCTTTTAATGAAAATTACAGATGAATTCCAAACCACATTGGATCAAATTGGGCATTTTAAATCTAGAATTACAAAGACCCCCCACTGACTTCGTAAAAATTTTTTTTTAATTATTTGGGCACCATATTACTTTTTTATTTATACTTAAATTTTGTTGATTTATTGGCCTTTGAACCCTGTCTAAGTACTATTTGGGCCATTATAAGTTGTAAATCTCTTGACAAATCTGCAGTTCATGTTACACTATCGAATTACATTACACACGAGCTACTTGTGAGCTGCTCGTGAAAAATTATTATTTACCTAATCTAGTCTTAATTAATATAAAAAGTTTCCTACTTTTATATTTTAGTTATTTTTATAATAATAAATAAAGAAAACGCATGAAAAACAAGAGAAAAAAGTACTTACCTGTTGACGATATTCGACACTACTTTTTGACACTAATGGTAGCACTGCACTGAATAATTTGTATTTAATTAAATAATGCACCAAAAGAACACAGAATAACAACAAAGAGCAGACAATGTTCCATAACTATCACAATTTTATCAGGGTTTCTAACTATGTGACAAGAGTCATTAAAACTTCATCTAATCTCATCAATGTGTTTCCCATTGGAATCAAGCTAGAATTGAAAGTGAAATTGAGAATTCTCTTTATAGAAAACAGTGTAATATAATACATAATTTGATAGATGAAAACCTTGGCTTTCTACTGGTTATAATAGTAGTGAACGTCAGAAAGAACTACTGGCAATTTCTGAAAGAGAGGATCTGATAGGTGGGCGTGGTAAGAAGGGGTCTGGTTGTCTATTTAATTGCTCTGTAACCAAATAAGATTGAAGGCTGAGTGACAATGATATTATAATGAGTAATTTACATTAAATTTAGTACTTCTTAGATGATTGGGAAATATAAATAAATTAGAAATGAGGGGAGGCCAAGAGAGCAAATGTCACAATTCTCACATTAAGGGAAATTCCACGTTTTGTTTTTAATATTGCGTTATAAAAGTAAGAACTTAAAACTTATATAATACTATTAAAGTATGCATTACTAGCTATGTTTTTTATGCTATACTTATTTATATACCATGATAATAAAGTAGTTTAATTAAATGTTGAATGGAACTCACTAAAACCTCGTGGCATGCTCAGAAATGGATGTCCATGAAGAGAGGGTTCTATGCACTTCTATAAAGAAGCATTTTATTGCTGTTGCTCACCACTACAGCTCTGGATAGTTCTAGACAATTAACCTCCTACACATAATAATATATATATCAATTCTAGGGATGCACTACTGTCCCGTAAATTCTGAATCTACAAAACTCACCAATATAAAACATTAAGTTACACAGAGTTATGTCTACAGAGCTTTGTGCCAACACGCTAAAGTAATGGATGAACTATCACTAAGTCAATTAAAAGCTGACAGCTTTTGGTGTATGCTCTTTAATGTTTTTTTTGCCACTGACCAAAATAGGATACCAAGACGAGCGCTTTGCTATTTTGTGGATTTCCTCAAGTTTGAAAATTAATTTTTATACAAATGAAAGGAAAATGTTCTTTGTTGTACCAAAACGTGGATTTGGAACAGAACGTTTTGTTGTACAAAATGTGGATTTCAAATGGAATGTTCTTTGTTGTACAAGATGTGGATTTGGAACAGAATGTTTTGTTATACAAAATGTGGATTTGGAACAGAATGTTTTGTTGTACAAAATGTGGATTTCAAATGGAATATTCTTTGTTGTACAAGATGTGGATTTGGAACAGAATGTTTTGTTATACAAAATGTGGATTAGGAAAGAAATATTCTTTGTTGTACAAGATGTGGATTTGGAACAGAATGTTTTGTTATACAAAATGTGGATTTGGAAAGAAATATTCTTTGTTGTACAAGATGTGGATTTGGAACAGAATGTTTTGTTATACAAAATGTGGATTTGGAACAGAATGTTTTGTTATACAAAATGTGGATTTCAAATGGAATATTCTTTGTTGTACAAGATGTGGATTTGGAACAGAATGTTTTGTTATACAAAATGTGGATTTGGAAAGAAATATTCTTTGTTGTACAAGATGTGGATTTGGAACAGAATGTTTTGTTATACAAAATGTGGATTTTAAATGGAATGTTCTTTGTTGTACAAGATGTGGATTTGGAACAGAATGTTTTGTTATACAAAATGTGGATTTCAAATGGAAATGTTCTTTGTTGTACAAGATGTGGATTTGGAACAGAATGTTTTGTTATACAAAATGTGGATTTGCAATGAACAAGTTACTGTTGGAAATCTTCTTTGACATACTCATATTATGAAACAGAAAAAACCACGTGATTCTGTAATGAGCAGATTATTCTTGGCTAAAGTTTGGTATTACTAGTACCTACCAATGGAGGGAATAGGCACGTGATTTTGAGATGGGTAAATCTCCTTATCACTGAGGTTTTCATCGGGTTCAATAATCACTTGGCCAGCAGAATTCCGTCGTTCCTCAATTAAATGATTCACCCTTCTTTCGTGTGGTCGACTAACATACTTACGTCCACTGGGTGGAGAGTCGAAAGACTGTTGATGGCTACGATCATCGCTTGCTGTGCGCATTCCTGAACGACGGGGACTGATCTGGTCTCTACCACCCTTTACATGATCCCTTCCAATATCCCCATTCCCCGTAGTTGAATCTCTTACTCTGTTTCTCTTGTGCTGCTACATGACAAAATGCATCCATTACTGTACTTCTTTTAACAAGTTTTTAACAGAAAAAATTATAACTAAGGTAATCTCAAAGTAAATACTCATTAATGAGACAATTTGAAATTATGAATTAACCAAGAATCAATTATTTAGTGTTAATTAATTATTATAGCACAGTTTGGAAGACTAACCATTAGAATTGAAAAACAGCACAAAATTATGTTTGACAAAAGACAGCTAAACACACAACATCACTGTAGGTTTTTAGTTTTTATGGATTGATTTTTTTTAGACATTATTATTAACATAATTAATGCTTAAAATAAGACCCAAGACTCGAGCACTTTCGAATAGTTGACTGTTCTTCTTTGTTCTCCTGAAGAAGAATAGTCAACTAATCGAAAGTGC